GTTACTGCTCGGAAATTACTTTACAATAATTTCAACAGTTTTTAAAGTTGATCTGCTCCGGTGTAAATTATCTAAAGAGCGCGTATCATCACGTGACACCTGTTACTTTTCTCAACGCTGGATAGAATAGACCAATCGCAGTCGATGATGCTTACTGGATGAGACTTTTAAAAACACGTTTCATGTTTCATTGCTGAGGTAGATTTTTGTTTTAATGTCACTAACCAATTCATGGAGTTCGTTGATTTAAAAGATTACACTTGTAAGAGTACAAATGTTTCCATTACTACAAAACACCGCATTGATATTTGAATGCGACTCAAAGAGGATTCAGGTTTCTTTTTTTCAGTAATCATTTCAGTTCATGGACCCTGGAATGGAAGCGATGAAGACATATTACGCTGTTTACAAGTGCAGAAAGTAAAGGAAAAGGAGGAAAGCAGCGAGTTTGATCGTAATCAGTGTGTTTTGGTAGAAAGCAGCCTTGTTTTGGTGCGCTTCATCACAACACGTCTAACAACGATCACGTGTTCGGCGAGTGGGCGGGGCTTCATTGTTTCCGCTACAAATGCGATATAAACAAATGCGGTATTTGACAGGAATCCTGTCGCTAAACGTTTTGCATCCAATTTCTACCGGTATTTAAATAGTGTAAACAGACGCAGAAGAGTCGCGAGAGCGCCATCTTCAGTGTGTCAATCATTTTGTCCGTTCTGAATTGCGAATTTGGGATTGGCTGGCACGCATCTGGGGGCGGGGTTTAGAAGCGAAGGCGTGTGATTGGAGACGAAACGCCAGAAATTACAGCATCTTTAACTTTTTGTTCATTTAAATTCTAATGCATTTCACATTGCAATGAATGTGAGATTGAGTGTTAACAACGAACAAACCCCATAACTGATTGCACATTTTTATTTATATATAATTGAGAGATTTTCTTGATGAAAATACATTCCGACATAAATATGAAAGTCACACTCAAATGAAGATACTAAACAGTCCAGCTCAACCACTGCACGCGCAAAATATAATTAATCATTTCTGCGAAGAAATTATTACACCAATATTTTCGAACTGATATCATAATTTACCAATACTTTTATGCAATAATGCCAAACATCTTCATAATATATAAAGTTTACATTCAGAGCAATATTAACAGTTAACATTAAGTATCTTAAAAGTTTGAGAAACAGCAAAAATCCATAATTAGCCATTTTTTCTCTCACTCGTATGTAAACAAAGTTTTGGTGTCTCATAAATGTATCTTACAGTGTGCAAATATTTAAAACAGTTTGGTCAAATCTAAAGATTTAGCATTTAAAAATACATTTCTTTAAGCCAAACTCAAATACACAGTGTACAATGTGTATTTCTTCAAACTACGCCGTCAGTGGTTCTTCTGCAGATGAAACAGTGGAATAACAGGATCACCGCAGGAACAGACTCAACTTTTCCTTCTCCCTCTTGTTCTCCTTTTCCTTGAGCTTCCTGCAACATGAGGGAAAAAAAGTTTAAACTTTGACTGGCATTAAAGGAATAGTTTCAGTGAATGGGTGCCGTCAGAATGAGAGTCCAAACAGCTGATAAAAACATCACAATAATCCACAAGTAATCCACAGCACTCCAGTCCATCAGTTAACATCTGGAGAAGACAAAAGCTGAAACTAATCCAGCATTAAGACGTTTTTAACTAAAATACCATAGAGTCCATAATCCACAATAACTCTTCCTCCAGTGATCTCCTGTTGTCTCTCACATATTTGTTTAGAGCTGTTTTGGCTTGTAAACGCTGCTTGATCTGTGCAGATTTCTCTCCTGATTCAGACCAGAACACCTTTTCACTGGAGGAACAGTTATTATGGATTATATGGACTTTTAGTTAAAAGCGTCTTAATGCTGGATTTGTTTCAGCTTTTGTCTTCTCCAGATGTTAACTGATGGACTGGAGTGCTGTGGATTACTTGTGGATTATTGTGATGTTTTTATCAGCTGTTTGGACTCTCATTCTGACGGCACCCATTCACTGCAGAGCATCCATTGCTGAGACACTGATGCAATGCTACATTTCTACAAACCTGATGAAGAAACAAACTCATCCTGATCTTGGATGAACTGAGGGTGAGGATATTTTAATTTTTTTGAGTCAACTGTTCCATTAACATAATGGCTATGTTGCACTTCTGATATGAATCGAAACACTGTCAAACGTCTCTCTCTCACGTCTATGTCGGTGTTTCGGAGCAGCTGTGAGGCGATATCCAAACAGCCTCCTGTGACGGCAGAAGTCGGCAGATCAGCGTCGCTGTACCAGGTCCGGCTGGCGCTGTGAGCGTATGAAGCAGCAGGAGTCGCGTGTTGAACTCGTGTTGTCGTCACTATGCCCACGGACTTCCCTTAAGAGAGAGACACACACACACACACGTTTACTTAGCTATCTACATGGGGACATTCCACAGGCGTAATGGTTTTTATACTGTACAAACTGTAT